TGTGATTGGCATTACTAGATACACCAATGGGGATTTAAATTGTGATGTAATATAAGTTAGGTGGTTCGTAAAGTATACTTATGTATAAGACGAGTTTGATTTCAAACATGACAATATGTAGGGTTTAAGGAGTGGTGCCTCCTTAAAGGGTCCAACGGATAGAGCCTTTTGCAGTGGAAAAATAAGTCTAAACGGATAATAACCTAAGTTGCATATAACTATTATGTTTGTCTAACAGCTTCCTGATCAATTCTCTTAAAGGTTTTTCCAAAAACCATATTCTAATAATAAAAAAACTGTATTTTTGTAGATTATATCATATTTTCGGTTGTATAAGAAAAAATAACTTATGGTACTCTCGTAAGATCTTGAACATTAATATACTCTCAAATATTATTGCTTTCAAATGTGTGCTTAAAACTAATCATGTGATTAAGGATTACTCTAAGTTGAATTTTTATAAATGCATAAAGCATACATATTAATCAGTGTTATCATGACTAGACCCCGATTAATCCCTGATTAGTCCCTAGGTGCTATTCGGCCAACTAGAAGACGCTAAACAATTAATCCCTTCCTAGACAGTAAGTGAAATTGTAGAAGTTGATGAAGATTTTACACTTTGAAGAAGTGAAATAGCAATAGAAACTATTTGAGAAATGATTAATGACGTATTAATCATATTAACATAGTTTGTTATGATTTTAGTGATATTTACTAACTTTGCTATTAGGGCTGGTCCTGGGGATTTAAATGTTCAGGATGAATTGGAATGTATATGAACTATTTAATTAGAACGACGATGTTTTAAGTGCATTAATGTATATGAAATTTGTTTACCACAAGAACCCACAAACATGTTTAACAACACCCATAAAACTAATATTATGAAAAATGGCATAATACTTTTTATAAAGAAAAAATATTTCAAGTGTACTAACAAAGAAGGCTTCAATTTGCAATATGCATGTAAGACCACTCATTGTCCCACTCACAAAACTCAACAAGATCAATTACCATAATTTTCAGATATAATTACATCCTAAATGGAAAGATCAATTCATTTTCTTGACAACCATGATAAAAAAAACAAGGTTTTTCATTATTCTCAGATACCAAGTTCAACCGTAAGCACACGTCTATTCAGTCGATAAACAAACAACTAACTTCCTCCTCAAATAGCGAATTAGAAAATTATATAGCTTCAGTTTTTAGAACATGTCTATTCATGAATTTAAGAGCCTAACTATTTATATAGGGTGCTATTATGTGTACTCATCTATTTATATAAGATACTAGTATGTGTACTCATCGCTGACATAATCACATAAAAAATCAAACACACACACCCACTCACACATATCAGGGATATATATATATATTTATATATATATATATATATATAAAATTAACCTTTATGTAATGGAGGTATCGACCTCATTGGACAATTTTGTAGAAGGGTTCTAAGGAAATAATGACTTTTTTTTTTTTTTTTTTTTTTTTCTATTGCATGTTGTTAGTAAATGATTTTCTAACAATTTTTTTTATTTTTTTTTTATTTTCAGAATGCTTTTTTCTCTTTCTTTCAACTTCTACCCTACCATCTACTTCTAAAATCTTGATGTTTAATGATTTTTTTTTTCTCTCTCATCTTTATTATATCATTTTAAGTAAATCTAACATAGATAACTAATTTGAAACCTAACATAGATAACTAATTTGAAAACGATCAACAAGTCTAAAATTATAATCAAGACCGGAATCAACCAAAAAACATGAAGAACAAGCTTGAAATTTCAAACTAGATATATTGGAACTATCTCAGGATTGCTAAAACTACTAAAAAAAACGAGTTTAAAAATCCGAACTACTTTTTCTGAGAAAACAATTTTGAAAATTGTTTTTTGTTAGAAAAAACAATTTGGAAAATTACAATTTTCGAAAATAATGATTATTTATAAAATTTAAAAAATGCATGGTCGTTATTTAAGATATGTTCTTTTTGGTGGTTATTAAGGTTATTATACTATTCATTTATAAGAAAATAAAACTAAATTTTCATTTGTTAATTTTGGTCGCTCTATGTTCATATATTTCTATATTTTTTAAATCGTCTAGTTAAAATTTTATGTAACAATTAATATTTGCAGTATCATGTTGTATATTTATTGATTATAAATATAAGTTTATTTAAGAATTTTGTGTTATACATGTAATTTTATTATTTAATAATTTTTTTCTTTAATAAAATCATAATAAATTCAAATTAACTTATTTTATGATAATATAATTTATAAAGTTATTGTAATATAAAAAATATTTGTCAACAATTAATTAAAAGAAGGACAAATTTTAAAATCTATATACGTTACATATAAAATATATTTTATCAATATAATTTGTTTTGTTGTGCAACATAATTCTTATCATAAAAAATTTTGAAAATTTTCTTAACAAAAAGAACATCATTTTAATAAAAATATAAGAAAATTCGCACAACGGTTTTTTCAAAAAAAAGACATCATTATGGTCATTTTGGTCGATCGGGTCAATAAATTTTTTAAATTTTTTCTTAGAAGTACATCATTTTAAGCATTTTAAAGGTCAATTGTTAATTTAATAAGTTAATCTATAAACTTTTATGATTATTTAAAAAAAAACTTTATTTTTGTTTAATTTTTAGAAAAAGAGCCAGTAAGTTTAGTTAGTTTTTGTCTTTAAGATGCTACCATTTTGCCTTTTAATTTTATAATTTTATTATTTAATAGTATAATGATATACTCTTTTCATCTCACATTTATTGCTCGCTTTTAAATTTAAAAGTCTTTATTCTTCAACATGAACCTTAAATATTTTAATTTGTGTTATAAATTACTTGATAAAACTTATAACAATGAAAAAACATTTAAAACATAATCCATTCATATATTTTGCATTAAGTATTATATATCAAAAACAAAAATATTTAAAGTCAAAATTAAAGAATAAAGACTTCAAAAGTAAAAAATGGACCATAAATATGGGACGGAGGGGTTATTAGAATTAAGAGAACCCTATCTTATACTATGTCATTCCCTTCTTACATATGTCTCATCCTTATCCTTCGCCTTAAGCTACTACCACCCACCCTACCCTTTCTTCATTGCAATTCTCTTACCCCACCCATATTCTTGATTGCCAAAGCGAACGACATTTTTGTGCACAACCAAACATATCCATCGTCACTGTCATCCCCCTCCTCCATCTACGCATCCAACATCTGGTTGATTGTTTATGGCCTTGAGATTCGACAACGATGGTATGGAGCACCATGTCATTTCTTGTAGTCATCTTCAATTCAATCACTCTCGTCTTTGGTTTTCTTTAGATACATGGTAGGCATCTAAAGGACATGTAACATTTACAATAACTTCGTTTAAACCTGCTTGAGTTTCAATTTTCTCTAAACTAGAAAATGATTGTTGCTTAGATTCCATTTTCGTAACCTTTTTTGAAGAATGGTTATATATATGTGATTGTGTTAATAATAAACTTCTTTGGAACTTCTAGACACTTTTATTCGGTCAATTAATCAGAGGTATTGATGAGCTACTGAAGCAACCATTTGATCAATGGAAACCAAAGATCTGATTCCAAATGCTTGAGGTTTTTCGATATGCAAGTTTAGTGAGAAACATTCAACTTGCTAGTTTTTTTTGGAAAGAGAACTTCCCTAACGAGGGTTTCCAGGCCAGCTTTTGCACACCGACTAATCCCCCGCTGCAAATATAAAGCTTGCCTCATGCCCTGGAGTCACTGCAGGCGAACCTCCATGACCACAAGGGCTAAGTGGTGCCAGGATTTGAATATTAATCAATAGGTTATCCACCATATCTTCCACATACCTTATCAAGTCACCACAACCCAAGTGGTTAACTTGCTAGTTTGATTCAATTTCATGTGATTTCTTATTATAATTTAGATTCAAGCACGAATATATGGCTTTTATTTATGTTCTTGAACTATCTATATTTGCATCTGGGTTGGTATTCTCCTGGGTTGCATATGTTTTATTTTTAATATGTTTTAGGTGTTGTTATTATTTTTTTTTTTTTGAAGAGATAAAAGTCTGCAACATACGGATATCTATAGAAGAAGCTGTCGACTAAACGTTTATAGTCTGCAAAAAAATGTTTCATCTTTTGAAGTTTGTATACTGCATAAAAAACTGATTTTTGGAATTTATAAAATGGTGTTATACATTAATGAAAAACTCATAAAAAGTCCATTGTAGGTACATTATTATTGTATGCTATCTAAGAAACAAATCACATTGTTATTATATGTTATATGAGGTAAAATATATATGTAGATAATATAAATTGATGATAAATTTATATTCTAGATAGTAAATTTTTTACACACATTCTTAGCGTGCTAACAAAGGAAGAAAGAAAGCATATATAACAAGATAAAGTATTCTTAAAATATTGTTTTGGATAACAATTTACTACTCAGTGCAAGAAAGAGAACTAGATGAATAACCCGCAAAGGAGAAAAGATTGAAAAGCTTTTATGTCAACAATGATGAGTTATGGTGATGAAAATTAAAGTCTTTTTTTTTTTTTTAAAAGATATCTGAAAAGAGATTTTTCCATGTCTTTTAGAAAAAAAGACTATTTTTTTAGGCCTGTAGAGATTTGTTCATGTCTTATAGAAAAGATGATGCATGTATCTTTTTAGGACTGTGTTCTTCTAAAAAAATATAATATGAAAACAAAATGTCTACCACTCTTTTTTACTATAAAGTAATCACAAATAAAACATATAATTTGAAGGATAAATGATCATTATAAAGAAATCACAAATAAAACATATAAATAAAAGGATAAAATGATCGTTTTACATGTATTTAATTTTCATGTATTAGTGTTGTTGAGTTTTAGAGACCAAATCCACACTAAAAACCTTAAATAAGTACCTTTTTTTTTTTTGCAAATCTAAAGTATTTGGATCAAATCCAAAGAAAAGTGCAAACTTGAAGGACTATTTTTGCAGTTTCTCATGAAAATATCATCAGTTTTAGAAAGTTTGAGTCCTCACATTGTAAATATCGCATTTCTTTTCTTCAATAAAACAAAAAGTCCCAGAATCAATAACAATGGAACCATTGCCAGAAATAGTCGCAGCGTGAAAGAAAGTGCTCAAATCCATCATCTCACCAATACTTTCTCTCTCTACAAAAACTTCTCTCTCTCTCTAAAAGGCAAAAGCCCCTTGGCGTAAATCTTCCACTTCTATGGCGAACAGCAACCTCCCTCGAAGAATTATCAAGGTATCATCAACACAAACAATTCTTAATCATCCGCTCCTAATCCCTTCCCCAGTTACTCATTTTCACATCTTTCATCCTTTATTCGTATACCTTTTCTCGTTTAAGATCCATTTTCCGGCGATCACCATATGTATTCGAAAACCCTAACTTGAGTTTTGACTTTCTGGTTTTGATGCAGGAAACCCAGCGCTTACTTAGCGAACCAGGTGATTATAAACTCTATCCCCTTCGCTCACGTATTATTGAGATTTGCTATATCGTCAATTACAAATTCGAAACTTCATTTGTTGTTGATTTGTTGTACGTCTTTGATTTTGTGATTTAGCACCGGGAATAAGCGCATCGCCATCAGAAGATAATATGCGGTATTTCAATGTCATGATTCTTGGCCCATCACAGTCTCCTTATGAAGGTCAATTAACTTATAAATGCCTTTTTCTCTTTCTTCCTTCATTCTTTTGTCAATGAACTCCATTAAGGCTTATTTTGTTTGGACTTAATGAACTTAAAGGGTTAAGCACTTAATGAATTCAGAAACCTGTTATTCTTATAATTATAGGAGGAGTCTTCAAGCTGGAGTTATTTCTGCCTGAGGAATACCCAATGGCTGCGCCTAAGGTATATATAAAGATATATATAATATGTTTATAATCACATATTTTTTTTTTATGAATGTTTTTATAAATATTTAGGTTCGATTCCTTACAAAAATCTATCATCCAAATATTGATAAACTTGGAAGAATATGTCTTGATATTCTAAAAGACAAATGGAGTCCTGCTCTTCAGATTCGCACAGTGCTCTTGAGGTAGAATTGTTTATACTTTATTACTTTATAACTTATAATTCTATTAATTTTTGTATTTTTATTATTATTATAAGTTAAAGAAATGAATGAGGATTTGTAATTTTTATGTATGTGATGTGATGTGGTAGTATTCAAGCACTTTTAAGTGCTCCAAATCCAGATGATCCGCTTTCAGAGAACATTGCAAAACACTGGAAATCAAATGAAGCAGAAGCTGTGGAAACAGGTAGTTAATATTAAATATTAATAGCATCTTCTTTTTTTTTTTTTTTTTTATTATTGATTAACAATATTTTTTTCTTATATTTTGAAAATGTTACTTTTTTTTTTTTTTTTTTTGTATCATTGAAGAATGCTATAAAAGTAAGTTGTTATTGTTGGTGTTGATTTTTTTTATTTGGTGTGTGTAGCAAAGGAGTGGACGCGTTTGTATGCAAGTGGGGCCTAGCGGATGTATTTTGTTCGGGATTCTGAAAATAAAAAAAAAAAAATTATTTTCATTACAAATTTAAAATATATATTCTCCATGTATTGAATATATGATGTATCTTTATATCAAGGATTTAATGAAGAGATGTTTACTTGGATTGGTTATTATTTTCCGCAAATGATTTTGTTTTGTTTTGTTTTGTTTTATTTTTATTGAAAGAAAAGGTGGATGTATTTTGGTAATCTATTTATTTATAAATACGTTGATTTGGTTTAGGTTTTACCTTGAAGAGGTTAAATGAGCAAACATATTCGTAAATAGTTTTACTAAAAAGGTTATATACCAAAGGGTCAAGAATCAATATGATAGTGGAGATGTTTTCTTATTTGGGTTCCTAACAAAAAGAAACAATAAATACATTTGAGTCATGCAAATGTAAGAATATTTACTTGCAATGTTATCTAACATAAGGAATATGCCATGAATGATGAGAGGGTTCGACTATAACATTGTTATACCCTCCATTGAACACAAACATATACAACTCATAGGATGAGGGCCTACCCTCACTTAGTTAACCTTTAGAGTAAATACATAGTGTGAAGTGTGAACATATTGTTTTAGTAAAATAAGTATGTTGATATGGAAGACATTTTGAGATGCATACATTTTATCAATGATCGATGAATGTAACTTGTTTGGTGTATTTTTAGTAAGACGTTTTATAATATGTCATTTGCAACGGGTTCCAAGGCCCGTCCAAAGATATAGTGGATCCAAGGCGAAAAATATAAATTGGCTCATAAAATCATAAATATATAATAAAAATTAAATGGAAAATAGATACACCATTATAAAATTCACTATTAATATTAAAACACAAAAATATTATCAAAACATTATAAAAACAACTAATTTAAAAGAAAACAAGTCTCTTAACATTTTAGATAAGTTACTTTTTTTTTTCTTTATATATATATATATATATATTATATATATATATATATATATATATATATATATATAAAATTTTGGGTTCCTTAGAGATATGGACCTTGAATGACTGCTCGATTTGCCCACCATCTGATTCGAGCAGATCAAATTTTCAAATAAACACCAATATGCCATTTCATACGAAACAAAAATTTCATTTTCATTTCGCATTCCAAAACGATAAATAGCTATTATATTTAGAGTAATGCCCTCACATGATTAATGTGAAACAATATCATAATCACTAAAAAAACTAAAACGGATGAAAGCCCATACAAAATAAATAAATAAATAAATACATAAATAAAAATCAAAAAAATCAAAATCCTAATAAAAAATGCCAAACTTTAGTTGATTGCTTCGATTGGTTTTGCACACTGTTCACTATGATGCTACCTAATTATCTTATTCAAAAATTTCCGTATTTATAAAATTCTCCTTGTAAATGAGGTATTTCTTAATTATATGACCACTCAAATAGGGATAGGATTTTGAATCGGAAAATCGAAACCGGAATCAGATCGGAACCGGAACCGTTAGAACCGGAATATGTAGAACCAGTTTCGGGTTTAAAAATTGGCTTTATCCGGGTTCCGGGTAATCCGGGTTTGGCTCCATCAGGTCCGGGTAAACCGTGTCTAAAAACCGGAACCAATGTTAGGAATCGGAACCACTTTTAGGGCCTGAACCGGTTTTTGTGAAACGTTTAAAAGATGCATATCTCATTCATTTCAACTCCGATTGACATGCGGTTTTTTTCAACATGTAGTTTAGAGTTTGTATATGATTTTAGACTATAAAATTGACATTTTTAGTTTTATATTCATTGACTTACAGCCCCCCAAAGTCGAGATATTAAAGTTGAAAGTTTTTAGTTTTTTAGTTTTTTTGTATTCGGTGAAAGTTTTAAAACATGCCTATCTAATTCATTTGAAGTTGGATTGACATGTGGTTTTTTTCAACTTGTAGTTTACAGCTTGTACATGAGTTTAGACTATAATTTTGTCATTTTTGGTTTAATATTCAATGATTTAAAGTCCTCCGAAGTCGGGATATCAAAACTGAAAAGTTTCAACTTTTCAGCTATTTGTTTTTGTACTTTGTATTATGTGAAAAATATTAATACATGCATATCTCATTTGTTTAAAGTTGGATTGACATGCAGTTTTTTCCAGAGTGTATTTTATAGTTTGCACATGATTTTAGATTATAATTTTGTTAAATTTGGTTTCATATTCAATGAGTTACAGTCTCCTAAAGTCGGGATATCAATATGAAAATTTTCAAAGTTCAATCCACTAAGTAGTAAGTAATTACCAAAAAATTTCGTTTTTTTTTTAGGTTTTCCAGTTCTAAACCATTTTATCCGGTTTCAATCTACCAATTTTGATATTTCCGGGTTTTCCGATTCTAGACCCACTTTACCCGGTACCGTACCCGAAACCGAACCGTAACCGATTCCTATATACCGATCCGGTTTCTGGTTCTAAAAAATCTCGTTAACCGGTTCCGGGTTTTCCTGGTCCGGATCCATCCGGTCTGAGTTTGGACCCACTTTCATCCTTACACTCAAATACCTATAATCTTCATATCCTTATTTAGAAAATATGTGCAAGCAAAGAAAAAACCTACACAAAATTTTCTCAATCCAAAAAATGAAACACTAGCTTTAATACTACAATGGCTTCTACAAAATGGTTGATTTTCTTTAAATGTATATAAAAGTTTGCAAGCTTAAATCACCTAATTGAAAATATAATGCCATTATTCTTTTAAATAAGGGGTCTACATTGGTTGTCACTTCAGGAAAATAGAAACCAAGACCTTCAATCCAAATGGTCATTTTAAGCAAATTGTTCCTTAAATACCATAAGTTGAAATCAGAAACATACATTTGGAATTTCAAAATTCGAACATATGTTATCATTTTAGAATGAGAAAATTGAATAAAAGACATTAAGTCTATATAAAATTTTGATTTTGACATTGTGTTTTTTTTTTCCTCAGTTAAATCACAAAACTTACAATTTTATTGCAAATTTAACCAATTATCATATTTGTTTTAGGTGTTTATGCTTCTCACTTGTTAACTAGATAAAAAGATGATGTGATATTCACGTTGATAAACATTTGGATTAAATTGAACCCTACTTAGATTTAGATTTGTACTAAATTACCATTATTTATTATTTTCTTCTCTTAGAACATCATGATTTTATGCAATGATTTCCTACTGTCATTCAAGTAGTTCATCATCCCAAAGTGGTGTAAGTAAAACAATGAATGTTTCTTTTATGAAATCTTACCTTGGACAACCTTCTTTGCCTTGCTTACATCATTCTAAGATGTCGAACCACTTAAGCGACCTTAAGAAGTCATTGCACAAAATCACGATGCTTTAGAGAGAATAAAAGGAGAATAAATAAGGGGAAATTAGTGCATATCTATGTCAGGATTTTGTTTAGTCAGCAAGTGAAAAACATAAAACACCTGAAACAACCGGTCGATTGGATAAATTTGCAACAAAATTATAAACTTGATGATTTAATCAAGGGAAAAAACACAATATCAAAATCAAAAAGTTATATAAACTTAATGTCTCTTATATAATTTATCTTTTAGAAAACAACTCAAAAGATCATTTTTGTCTATCTTCTTTATTTAGGTCCCACTTATTAACTAACAATACCTTATAATTAAAAGATAAAACAATTACTTTTATGCAAACAATAAATAAAAAGACTTATTAACCATATATTTAAAAATTATTTTATATTCGTATTACTTACATCATTCTAATCGTAAAAACTAGTTTGGATCAATAAAAAAAAAGGACAATTTGTTTGGAAAAATGTTAATATATCAACTGTTGGTGGGGATTTTGCTTAATTCGATGGTACTTAATGTATAATTTTATGACTGAGCTTATTTAATTAAAGTTATTCAAATTATATTTTATTATATTACTTTGAATTTTTTTATTCATTAACTGTCATAAATTAATGTTAATTTTTTCAATGGCATTCTTTTTTATTCTCACGGAAACAAACTCTCACGAAACCAAGAACATCCTCATGAAATGATCAATTTGTCTTTAACAAAGTTTGTGTACACTAGTTTGTTATATTTAATGCACTCGTAATTTTTTATGTTATTATATTTATCTGATTTTTTTTTGTGCGCCTACTGCTATATATTCTTGTGTCTGCCCATACACAAAAGGATACACATGACCTTGACGATGCAATCATGAATCATGTACCAAGGGACTTAAGTAAATATATAAGTTCATATTTGATTTGCAGATTTCAAACTGTAGAAAAGAAAGACGATATATATGGTGTATACAACTGTATTGTTGAACTCATTACATTTCAACGATGTTCTTAGTCACATACTTGAACTTAAAATAGATGCACCAGTTTTGCTAATGTGAAACCTTAATAAAGTTGTCAGATTATTCAACAGTACAGGTTTCACATACTAATCTTTGAAAATGGTCGGTAGAAGCCTATGTGATGTCGAAACCTGTGATAGGAAAAAAGCCATATTCTTCAAATCATAATATCATCGAATGAATCAAAATTATAATTTAAACTCGGAACTACCTTTTACCATTTGCTTTGCAATGATAATAAACTGTACTCAAGGACATTTAAAAACAAATAATTATACGTTGTAGCTTCTCGAGCAACAAGAAGAAAATGTATGGTCACTCTAAGTGCAGATAAATAGGATAGATGAGACTAGCAAAAAAAATATTTATCGAGAAGCTTTCATTTATAAAGAATTGTTTAGGCATTATAATGCATACTAATATTACACATATTAATATGGGCAAATACCATAAAAACCAAACCATTTTCACGCGTAGTTGAGATTTTTTTGTTGGTTCTGGCTACAAATGGGACGTAGAATTATCATTCTAGCCAATTTGATAGATTTTATGGTTAACTTTGTTATTTTTTTTTTTAAAAATCAGACCTAAAATTGGATTTAAAGTTCTGTATTTTGGACATGTGGTGTAATTTTTTGCAAACTATAGAGACAAAATTTGAACTTTAAACTTAGCTTTAGGACTGATTTTGCAAAAAAAGATAACGAAATTAACCATGAAACCTATTAAATGGATTAGAGGGATAATTTTAGGTCCCCTATTGTGACTTTTATTGTATTTGTCTATGAATATTATAATAAGTTTTTTTTTTTTCCTCTTAAGGTCAACTCCAAAATATTATAACATTTACTC